GCCTGTCTCTGTGGCGCAATCGGTGAGCGCGTTCGGCTGTTAACCGAAAGGTTGGTGGTTCAAGCCCACCCAGGGACGAAGAGCTCCTTCACCTTTAACCCCGATGACCGCTATCCGGGAGGTTTTTTGGCTGCAACAAGATAACTGTGTTAGCTCCTCACGAATCGAGCGAAGCCCAAAACAGACAGATCTTAACGCGCAACCCGAGCGAAAATGGCAATGCCCGGCTGCAATATCAATTTCCCACCAGTTACCTATAGCCCAGCAATCAAAACAAACATCAATGCAAAGCTGAATCTACCTCGTGAGACTCGGTCGGGCATCAATTGTAATGCATCTTTGAGAAACTGTCTTCGGTTATGCTTCGATAAAGAAAGCATGAACTGCACGACATTTCTGGAATTTAGATTTTCGCTTTGGAAAATGGTTTCTCTCATTGCTCAAAACAGAAGAACTGCCGCGTTTACACGTAACATGAAAAGCACCGGACTACAGGGAAAATGCACAAAGCTGAGCAGGCCATCGTGTACGACATGATACCTTGCAGCATACTTACGGTTATCACGCCTGTTTTGTAGGACAAATGATTCAAAGAAAGTCCTCCATCTCAAAAGCTGATTTTGACTTTTATCCGAGAACCACAGATCAGATTGCGCGGCTGTTCGATCCTCGATGCAGGAATGAGTTGCCATTTCCCTTGTCTTTCTCCTTAACCGTGCGTTTTTGTCTGCGGAGCTTTCCCGACCTGGACATGAGCAAATGTCAGACGGCTGCCGCTGAGTTGGAAACCTGTGTGGGAAACGAAGGAATGCGACTCACTGTATTTTATTAATCTCCACGGTGCCTATTTGGAGATGCACAAAAGGCAGTTTCTAAACGTATTAACAGAACGTAAACGGCGATGAGAGTTGTGAAATGAGGTGCTAACAGCACGTGATTGCGCTTTCTTCTCGATGTGAAAATCTCTGAGTGACCTTCACGTCCCTTGTTTCTGACTAAATGAGATAGAA